CCCACAACGGTGTGTGGGAGCCTCCGTACTCTCCGGACAGACCTGACTGCTCACGTGAGTACAGCACATGATCATCTATCAACAGGTTTTACAAATATAACCCTAAATTGCTGTTTTTTGGTTCTGATTTCATAGAGATCAAATAAATACACATACAAAATGTGTTTTTTATGTTCTCGTAACTCTCTTTTCCAGTGAACCGTATGGCAAACAATGGCTACAAGCCCTTTGAGATGCTGTTTAAAGCGTCTCGATGTGACGATGCAGATCTGGTCAAATCGTTTGCAGGACACTTCAACGCTAAACTAGGAGGCATGGTAAGGACCTGTAAACACATGCACTCTCTGACTGGCTGTGAATAAACTCGCACTCATAAAAATGTTATTCATTTTTCTCCCCAGCTCCCCGGCATTTGTAGCAGCGACGAAATCACCTGCAAGCTGGAGGTGATGTCACAGGGTCACTGTCTGGAGTACAATTACGACTATGAAAATGGATTTTCTATCGGTAGCCGTAACAACTACTAATAACTAAAACGTTCAAGCTATAGCTTAGGTAACATTGCTTATCAGCTCGTCACGCTTCCTTCCTGTTGCCTTACAACAGCTCCAGGTGGTTGGGGAAACGGTTGGGGCTCTCAGGGCTCACAGGACTACGCCTACTTCGAGTCGGGCTTCGCTACAGGCAGTCGGCAGCAGGACAGCAGCAGGAAACATCTCCGCACGAAGAGGAGCAGGAGGATCACAGGCCCCACCAGAGACCATAAGATCCAGATCTACTTCAATATCACAGGTAGAAAAAATGGTTTCTGTTGGTAATTTAAAAAAAAATCCAAATTAGCATTTAATGCCGTCATTGTCACTGTAGTTCATTAGATTAAATGTTGTCAATTTTCCCAGCAAGCATCCCTCTGCCCCTGTCGAGGAATGACTCCGTAGAGGTGGCCAATCAGAAGAGGCTCCTGCGGACCCTGGAGCAACTGACCAATCGCCTGAAACGAACTCTGGCCAAGCAGCCACTGTCCAGTTTTCATGTGTCATCAGAAATGATTGTTTCTGATCCCAGATCGCTGGAGAGCAAGAAGGCCTCTCTGTTCTGCAGACCGGGCTCGGTGCTCAAAGGCAGAATGTGTGGTAAGGCCGAAAAGGGAATGCATCCAGCTAAAAACAAATGAAAACGTATGACATGTTAAACATGTTTAAATGTGTTTTTTTTTTCCAGTCCAATGTCCAGTTGGAACCTATTTTTCTCTGGAATATAATGAGTGTGAGAGCTGCTGGTTGGGGTCCTACCAGGACCAGGAGGGTCAACTGGAGTGTAAGTCCTGTCCTGAAGGAACCTCCACAGCCTACCTGCACTCCCGCAGCATCAATGAGTGCAAAGGTGGGTTTTATGCACAAACTTCCATCTCTGCATTTTTCTGTTGGTAAAATGTGTGGAATTTTATCATTATTTAATAATGAAGTCTGTAGTTTTATACTACAGTAGTCCCTCGTTTATCATGGGGGTTATGTTCCAGACACCCCCACAATAAATGAAAAACTGTGATGTAGGAACATTGCATTTATTTTAGTATTTATATATATTAAGGCTTTATAAACCCTTCCCACACTCTTGTAATGTTCTAAACTCTTAAACCTACGTCATTTTAACAACATACGTATATGTACTGCACAGTAGCTACTGCAAAATATTATATGGGTACTGACTAGCCTTGGTCCGGTTCTGGTCTGGTTATGATCGGCTCTCTGCAGCCGTTGAGTAAGTTGGACCTTCGGAGAGCCAGCACAGAACCACACAATGGTCCTGATCGAGTCTAAATAATCCAGAGAAATCTGGATAAAAAAAGTCCAGGTGAGCACCGGAGAAGATAAGTAACACCTCCACGCTCGAGAGGCTCCCTGGGCTGGCAAGCAGCACTCAGATTGACCGATGAGGCTGGAAGTAGTTCTGGTCTGGTTCTGGTCCGGTTCTGATCAGCTCTCTGCATCCACTGAGCACTGAAGTCACTATGAATAAGGACCAAACTTTTTTTATTTTGTCAGGTTTGGATTGGATCAAAACTTTCCTTCCATTTCAGCAGAAAGCAGTGGCCGGAAGCACTGTTGACTTCTGGGTAATGTAGTTCTTTTGGACTGGCGGTACAGTGTAGGCTTATTGAAAGAAAACTACAAAATGGTGGCACCTGCCCAAAGTTTTTTTTTTTTTGGTTGACTTTTTATTTTTACCATCCCAATCATGTGAGTAATATTAAAGTTAACAATCGTTAAAAAACTGCGAAAGAGCGAGTCCGCAAAAGTCGAACCACAAAGTAGTGAGGGACTGTACTGTTGACGTGTAAACAGGTATTTAACTTGGCAGCGCTGGTTAAAACTACAGTATAAATTGTGTTGGTTTGATGTTTTAACTTGTTTCTGTTTTTCTGGTGGTGTTTTGATCAGGTCAGTGTAAACCTGGCAGTCACTCTCTGAACGGGTTGGAGATCTGCGAGTCGTGCCCACTCGGTCACTTCCAGCCTGGTTATGGTGCCAGAAAGTGTCTGGTGTGTCCTGGTGGGATGTCCACTGTCACCAGAGGAGCCGTGGACGACACCGAGTGTGGAGGTGATGCAGTGTGACCGTACAAACTAAACATCCTCATTGTCTTTTCATTCTACTTTAATTTATTTACTTTACTGTATTTCTCAGACTATAAGGCGCACTTAAAATCCTTTAATTTTCTCAAAAATCGACAGTGAGCCTTATAATCCAGTGCGCCTTATGTATTAATTCTGGTTGTGCTTACCGACCTCGAAGTGATTTTATGTGGTACAACTGAACAACGCTGAGTTATTGTGAATGAGTTGAATAAAGTTTGACTTATCTGACTGCTTTGTTTCACTTAATGCACCTTATAGTCTGAAAAACACTTTAATTTGACTTGATTGTACTTGCGTTATGCAGAACAGTAATGGGGAAAATAACCAATATATTTAAAAATTATAAGCAAATGCATATCTTTTAGTATTTTTATTGAAATGTAACAAATTTAGACATGAGATATAACTGACCTTCTGAGTTAGATGGATAGACATAGAAAAGTAGAAAACAATTTTTTTTTTTATTTTATAAATTTTATTTTTTAAATACATAAATGGCAAATATAACATAAAATGTTGGCTTTGAGTTTCTTTGCCTTTTTCCACCAATGATTATTATTTTTATAACAATTTGGGATGACTGTAGCATTTTATTATGTAATTTGTTCACTTTTCTACTTTCCTCTTCCACACGTCTCATTTATAGTTCCCTGCAAGGCGGGTCACTTCTCTCGCACCGGTCTGGTTCCCTGTTACCCCTGTCCAAGAGATTATTACCAGCCTGACCACGGGCGCTCCTACTGCCTCTCCTGTCCTTTTTATGGCACCACCACGATTACAGGAGCATCCAGCATACAGCGCTGCTCCAGTGAGTCCACTGGGCCGTAGATATTAGCCTTTCCCCAAACTAAAGATCCTGAATGTGTTTTTTCCAACTCATATTTGTTGTGTTTGTATTTTACTGGGTATCTTTGTCAGGTTTTGGGTCAAGCTTTCTTGCTAAGGAGGAAAGTGTAACTGCTGCTCCAGAGGTGGAGGTCAGTGAAGACTACCAAGCCAGCAGTCAGGTTAGTAGTCACGCCTTCTTCACGACGTTGTTTGAATTCATAAAGATTTGTGGGCATCGGTTCATACATGACTCTGTTATGACTGTTACAGTACATAGTTTATGGTTAACTCAGTGGCTGCTAAACAAGCCCAAATCATTACTCCTCCACCGCTGTGCTTGACAGTTGGTGTGAGATGTTCTTCGTTGTTTTGTTTTTTTTGCCAATGTGGTTTGACTTTCACAAATTGTGCTGCTGTACATTCCATCCAAACACCTCCGCTTTGGTCTCTACTGTCCAAAAAACATGGCTGCAACACTTGAGGTTTGTTCAGATACAACTTTACAGCCTAATTTATGAGATGTCTGAGCTGCAGGTCTTCTGCTGTCAGGTTGAGTTTGTGTTTAATTGACACGTGAATACAATACTGGGCTTTTTTCATTTGACATTAATTCATCTTCACTTTGGAAAACTGACCTCAGAATATTTGGAAATAGTGTTACAATCCTCCTGAGAGTAATGAGCATAAACAGGTGCTGATGTCTTACCTTTTGGTTTTGTGTTAACACACACCTGTATGCTCCAGAGCAGCGAATTACCCAAACCAATGTTTTTATAAAGATCCTCACTCCTATATAACCAGTAATAGTTAATCAGTGCACCTGGCTGCTACTGACCCTGTTACTTCACCGAACGACAAAAGGGGTGTACTTTATCACATACTGTTTTACTTTTTTGTGTAACTGTTGGATAATTTAATTATCCTGTCATCAAATCATTAATCAAATAAGCCACACAGAGAGGATCCAATAAGATTTTTCAACCCAGTTTTACTTCCTACAAGGGGTTCAGCATTGAAAACAGGCTTACAACGGTGTTATACAAAGCTCTGGTCACAAGGTCTGTCCACAGACAAAGAGTTAGGAAAAGCTTAAATACTCGTTATCAGACAGAGGCGAGGTCAGGACGACCTCTGCTTCACAGCTCACAGTTTTTGAAGGCGTCAGAAGTTATCAGTTATCAGACTCCTGAGTAGACAAAAAGACTCTTTTGACTTCACATACATTTAAGATTAGTAAGTGATAACATCCATGACCTTTACATAAAGTCCCCCAACAGTAATATTGTGTTGATCCTAATTTGAAGTTGTATGACTTCATGTCTATGAATTCTATTATGATCCGAAGCGTTGAACTGTAAAATGACCAAAGTGTGCGCATGCTTTGAAACTGTGGTGTACAAATACAGTTTGTACAGGTACCCTTGTAGCGTTGAGTTGGCGTTAAGAACAGCTACACTTATAGTAAATGTAAGTGGATTTATCTACAGTGCAAGAAAGTTTGATTTATTATTCCTGCAGGTTTTCCACGAGTGCTTCCTGAATCCCTGTCAGAACAAGGGAATATGTGAGGAGGTTGGAGCTGGTTATGTCTGCACCTGCATGCCTGGGTTCACAGGTAAAACACCACATCTTTTCACTACTGCATTTGCTGTGATTAGAATATTATTATTCTGTTGTTATGTTGTTGGTGTTCACCCTAACCACATTAGGGATGTTTTTTCACTGTTCTGATGGTCGTTAGAGTCAGCCCGTGATATTTGTCCCTCAGGTGCAAAGTGTGAGATCGACATAAACGAGTGTGACTCGGCTCCGTGCCAGAATGGAGGTCTGTGTAAGGACGGGATGGGAGACTTTCAGTGTCAGTGCAAACCTGGATTTTTAGGTAAGAGATCTATGAGCAACTTAAAGCTATGGATTTTTTTCAACAAAGGAAAGGCCGTTTTACAGATTATGTCAAAATTGTGAAAGGCACTCTGTTTGTTTGACTCAGGTTCTCTGTGTGAGGCCGAGGTAAACGAGTGCATCTCCTCCCCGTGTCTGAATGAAGGAGTGTGTGTGGATGAAGTCAACAAGTTCACCTGCAGCTGTACAGATGGCTTCACAGGTTAGGCAAAGTTGCTTAAATCAAAAACAAATGGACTCTGGAGGGTTTTTTAATTGTTTTGAAAATGTTTCCCTTGGCAAGAGAGGGACTTTTATCAGTTCTTATTAGACATTTTCAGACCTAATCCCAGGCTGACCAGATAAATAATTTCATAGTGGTTTATGTGAACCTCACAAAACTTCATTCCAAAAGATCTGAACTGTTCTTTTGGTCTCTCTCTTCTACAATTCTTCAGGGTCTCGCTGCGAACTGGAAATCAATGAGTGCCTGTCCAGCCCATGTCTGAATGGAGGTGTGTGCGAGGACCTGACAGGAGGATACAGCTGTAACTGTGCAGCTGGATTCTCCGGGGATCGCTGTGAGATCAACGTTGATGACTGTTATAGTGCTCCTTGTTTACATGGAGGCTCATGCATAGATGCTGTTAACAGCTACAGGTAAAATAAAATGGTTATTGTATGGACTGAAGCAGCTTTCAGTACTAATTATACGCTTGTCAAGAATTATTTCTTCTCTGCACAGATACATTTGTGTACCTAAATGTGGACTATTGTAGATGCAGTGTCTTCACAGAAACTGATCTCAGGTGAAAATGAGGAGGTGTTACCTGTCTTTGTCTCCCTTTTTGTCTCAGGTGTCAGTGCGTGGAGGGCTTCCGAGGCCGTCTGTGCGAGGTGGACGTGGACGAGTGCAATCCGAACCCCTGTCTGAACGGAGCCAGCTGCTTTGACGGTCTGGGCTCCTTTACCTGCCGCTGCCTCCCTGGGTTTAACGGAACCAGGTGTGAGACAGGTACTACTGTACAGGGCAGATAACACATTGTCATGGCAACCAAAGAGGAGGAAATCTGAGAAAGCGATAATAAAGTGTTGTTGTTTACATCTGGTGTGCAAACGTGTTACTGAAACACATCTTGAGCAGACATTTTTAACTAGAGAAATTGTGAAAATGGAGTGTGAATGCTTATTGCTTAAAAACAGCTAAAATTAGCTAAAAACATGCTAAAATATAGCTGAAATAGAAGAACAAGCCTAAGTTAGCAGAATAAAGCAGAAAGAACACATGTTTGCTGAATTATGTTTAAATAAACAGAAATGAGCACAAAAATTAGGAAATTAGCTTTAAAAAGCTGAAATTGGCAACAACAAAAAAGCTGAAAAGTCAGAAAGAAGCTTAAACTACCAGAAGGAAAGAGAAAGAGCTGAAATCAGCCCAAAAATGTGGAATTAGCTGAGGAAGCTGAAATTAGCTTAAAATAGCTAAATAGTAGCTGAAATAGCAGGAAAAAGATGAAAGCAGCAGAAATAACTCGAAAAGAGCATAACATGCTGAAATTAGCAGATATAATTTAATTAGGCTGAAAGTAGCATAAATTAGCGCAAAAAAAGTGAATTTATCTGAAAACAGCTATAATTAGATTACTGGTAAAAAAAAAAAAAATGCTAAAAAGGTAGGAAAAAAGCTGACACTTGCGAAAATAAGCTGAAAGGAGCATAACAAGCTGAAATTAGCCGTAAGTTAGAAGAAGCACAAAAATGTAGTTAGCAGAAAGAATCTGAAAGGATCACAAAACAGCTGAAAAAACAGCTGAAATTAGCTGAAAGTGGCTGAAAAAAAAGTTTAAATTTGCACAAGGAAGCTGGAAGAAGCTGAACCAGAACAAAATGTGAAAGGAGCAGTTAAAGGTTGTAAACACATCTAAAGAGCTGAAGGATGTAAAATGAGCTCAATTTATTTCCTATGAGGAAAAAGAATGGCAGAAAAGACTAAATATTTCAACAAGCTAAAGTTGCACCAATACCAAAAGTCATAGCAGGATTGTCCTGAAAGAGATAAACGTTTTGATATAGGATTTGTTGAAATAGCTCAAATTGTGGAACAAGAAAGATGCTGAAAAATGTACGGAAGAAAAATGGATCACAGTAGAGTGAATGCTTCATAAACATTCACACAGCTAACTGCCTGATGAAGATTTTAAGCATTTAATCTTATAGCGCAACATACTTGGCTTACAGAAATGTTTTGTTTATGAACAAATTTCCTGTGTCTCCTCTCAGAAATGTCCTCTGCCTTCAACCTGGACTTCGAGGTGTCTGGTATCCACAGTTACGTGATGATGGACGGAGTTATGCCGGCGCTGACAGAAATCACCTGTACTTTCTGGATGAGGTCATCAGACACAAATAATTATGGCACACCTGTTTCTTATGCCGTGGAAGGCAGTGACAATGCTTTTCTTCTCATAGACTATAACGGGTCAGTGATGCATTTACATGAATAAAATATCATTTCCACTATACCGTACACACTTTCTTGTTTTCTAACACCTGCTTTGTCTGATTACCTGCAGGTGGGTGCTGTATGTGAATGGAAAGGAGCGGATTACTGACTGTCCTGCTGTGAACACGGGCCAGTGGTTCCACATCGGTGTATCCTGGAGGAGCTGGGACGGAGACTGGAGGATCTACATCAACGGGAAGCCCTCAGATGGAGGCAAAGGCCTATCAGTTGGCACCACTATCCCAGGTGTAGTTCTGTTAACAAACTTGTTTCTTTTTAACAATTGTTTTCTCATGAGCTCACTTCCTTTGGAGCTGTTAACCTTAGTCCTAACTCTGTTATTTAGGTGGGGGAGCGCTTGTTTTAGGTCAGGACCAGGATCAGAGAGGAGAAGGCTTCAACCCTGTTGAGTCTTTCGTTGGGTCCATCAGTCAACTCAACATCTGGGATCGGGTTCTCACTCCACAGCAGGTACATATGAAAAGCTTTCACTTGTGTTTGACCCTTAGGCCAGCAGTTCCTCCTCTTTACCCGTAGAGTAGAGGTTGGTGGCAGCTGATCAGGGCGAAGACCCTGAAACTTCCTCCACCACAGAGCTTTGGGAGTGGAGGGTTTCTGTGGTGCCTGTGCTGCCCGAAAATTATTCAATTTTAGCAAATCATTTAAAGAAATTAGGTCAGTTTGTCCTTCAGTAGTCTTAGCCTATAGCAACATAACAAGCCAACCCGAACTATAGGATTTATCAAACAGTAAAGTCTTAAGTCCAGTCTTAAAACTGGACAATGTGTCAGCCTCACAGACAGAAACTGGAAGTTGGTTCCACAAGAGAGGAGCCTGATAACTGAAAGATCTTCCTCCCATTCTGCTTTTGGAAACTCTAGGAAGCGCAAGTAAGCCTGCCGTCTGAGAGTGAAGTGCTCTGTTAGGAAAATATGGAACAATAAGATCTGTAATATAAAATGGAGCTAGGTTGTTGAGAGCTTTGTAGGTTAGAAGTAAGATTTTGAATTCAAATCTGGACTTAACCGGGAGCCATTGAAGAGAAGCTAAAACTGGAGAGATATGATCTCTCCCACTAACTCCAGTTAAGACTCTGGCAGCAGCATTTTGGATCAACTGAAGACATTTTAAAGAAGTATTTGGACATCCAGATAATAAACCATTGCAATAGTCCAGTCAAGACGTGACAAATGCATGAATCAGTTTTTCTGCATCATTTTTAGATAAGATGTTTCTAATTTTAACAATATTACGCAGGTGGAAGAAGGCAGTTCTAGTAACGTTTTTAATGTGCCGGATAAAAGACGTCCTGATCAAAAATAACACCAAGATTTTTAACATTAGAGCTGGAGGACAGATTAATGCTATCTAAGGAGGGAGAAAGACTGAAAAATGTATTCCTAAGATGCTCAGGTCCAAAAACTAAAACCTCAGTCTTGTCTGTGTTCAAAAGCAGAAAATTTAGGGTCATTCAGGTTTTTATGTCTTTAAGACATGCTAGTAGTCCAAGTAGCTGATTGGATTAATTTGGTTTCATGGACAAATATAACTGTATCAGCAGCATTACAATGAAAATGTATCCTATTCTGTTTAATAACATTACCTCATGGGAGCATATACAAGGTAAAGAGTATTGGTCCAAGCACTGAACCTTGAGGAACTCCATGACTAACTTTGGTGTATGATGAAGATTCATTATTTACATTTACAAATTGGAATTTGTCAGATAGATATGATTTAAACCAATTCAGAGCTGTTCCTGTAATTCCAATATCATATTCAAATATTTGTAGTAGAATATTATAATCAACTGTATCAGAGTCAGAGAGTCAGAGTTTCTTTATTGTCATTCGCACCACATGTGGTACATGTGGTGGAGCGAAGTTATGTACACAGGGTCCCAGTTACATCCAACAATAAAATGTAAAAGAAAAACTATGATAACATCCAAGATTTGAACTAAGAAAAACATCATTTAAAATACACTAAGCACTAATAGCATAAAAACATTACGTCGAAGAGCAGCACGAACATGAGCATGAGTAAGTGAGCAGATGAGCACGCATGAACTCAGCATGAAAAAGATCAGCAGCAACACGATGTGATTTTTTCACATTGATTCTTCTGGTTAGAGATTCATGAGTCTAACAGCCTCAGGGTAGAAGCTGTTCCTCAGTCTAGTGGTTCTACACTTAATGCTCCTCAACCTCCTTCCTGAGGGAGCAGGGCAAAAAGTGTGTGTGCTGGGTGAGTGGGGTCCTTCATGATGCAGGTGGCTCTCTTCCTGCATCTGGAGGTGTAAATGTCTGTGATGGTGGGGAGGCTGACTCCAACAGACTTCTGTGCAGCCTTCACCACTCTCTGCAAAGCTTTTCTTTCTGCAGCTGTGCAGCCTCCATGCCACACGTTGATGCTGGAGCACAGGATGCTCTCCACTGCACACCTGTAGAAGGAGGTGAGGACTGAGCTTCCCAGACCAGCTCGCCTCAGCCGCCTGAGGAAGTAGAGTCTCTAATGTGCTTTCTTGATCAGACTGGTGGTGTTGTTGCTCCAGCTGAGGTTGTCATTCATGTGTACACCCAAGTACTTGTAGCTGGAGACCACTTCCACTGCAGATCCTCTTATGTTCAGGGGGTGTAGGTGTGTTTGTTCCTTCTGAAGTCCACAGTCATCTCCTTTGTCGTCTTCACATTGATGTGAAGGTTATTCTCTTTTGTCTTCTTCTCATATCAAATGCAGCACTGAGGTCTAACAGGACCAGTGTAGACACCTATCCATTGCCAGAGGCCTTGAGAATATCATTAGTAACTTTCAACAGTGCAAATTCAGTGCTGTGGTGAGCTCTAAACCCAGACTGAAACTCTTCAAACAGATTATTTATTTTCAGATGATCACGCAACTGACCTGCAACTATTTTCTCTAGAATTTTTGAGATGAAATTTAGATTAGATTCAACCTTTATTTTTACAGGTTAGTCCCATTGAGCCTCAGGTACTCATTTACAAGAGACCTGAAGATATAGGTCTATTATTGGCTAGGAGTCTTGAGTCAAGGTTATGACAATAACAAAACAAGACTAAAATAATTTTAACACTCTTCTTTAAAGCAATCCACTTGTAGCTGAATCAGCCAAGATGGTTGTTATTGCCAGGTCTGAACAGGGCATAACTTTATATAGTTAAAAATGGAATCTGGAATAGTTAAGCAAATATATTTTTTATATTAACAATCTGAATTTATTTTTCTCTGCTCATCCTACAGATTAGGGTCCTAGCCAGCAGCTGTCCAGCCTCTCATGTGACCCACAGAGGAAACGTCCTTGCCTGGCCTGACTTCCTTAACGGTGTGGTGGGCCAGCTCAAAGTAAACCTCAACAGCATATTTTGTGTTGGTAAGAGAGATTCTCATATTTAAAACTATATTGTACATGTTGTTCATCTGTTTGTAAATATACTCTAGGAAAGCTTTAAACCTGGTGATTCCCCCATGTGTGTTGTCTCAGATTGTCCCAAGCTGGAGAACGCTGTGCCCCACCTGCACGTCTCCTCTGTGGAGGTGAGCCCCGGTGCTCAGGTGCAGATGTCCTGTGATCCTGGTTTCTACCTGGTGGGGGAGCCAGTGCTGCAGTGCCAAAATAAAGGAGAGTGGAGCCACCCTCTGCCCAGCTGTGAACGTGAGGACCAGAGCCAAATAGCTCTGATTTTAATTGCAAATTAATCCCTGCGGTAGTGACGTACATCCAAGAACAGATAACAAATCACACACACTGACAGATTAATGTCCAAAATACTCCGGAGGAGAGGCCAGCAGAGACACATAAGAATGTGTTGTGTCCTGCTAACGTTGTCACTTGACTTGTCAACTTCAGAATTTGTACTTTTTTAAACTTATATTTAACTAGGCAAATAAGTGAGGTCATCGATCTCCCCTTCAAGAAAGGCCTGGGCTCAAAGGCAGCCTGAGTATGCATGTTTTGGCATGTGGGAGGAAACCAGAGTCTGGAGAAAACCCACACAAACATGAGGAGAAAATCCAAATTTCATACAGAAAGACATCAGGCCCAACCTGGCGCTTGAACCCAGGACCTTCTTATTGTAAGACAACAGTGCTAACCACTAAGCCATTGTGGTGCCCATTTAATTTATATTTCTTGGGAGATATTAGGCTCATAACTCATAAAATCCCTTGTTAAGAAGAGTGTGCTGATTGTATTAGAGCTTTGTGTGTTTTTTGCGTTTTTGCTAAACAAAAACTAGGTTGGTATGAACATACCAAGCTACAAGAAAGTCATATAGAGAGAGCTCAGAGTATAACTGATTCAACATTGTTTATTATATTTTATTTTATAGTTTAATTCTGTTTAAATTGTTAGAAATCAATTAACAGTTTGTTTTTATCTGCATGTGTTGCAGGAGTGTCATGTGGAACTCCTTACCCTCTTGCGAACGGCTTATTTCAGGGGACAGATTTCCACGCTGGCAGCTCTGTGGTCTATCAGTGTAATCCAGGCTTTTACCTGCTGGGAGACACCAAGGTGCGCTGCAGCAACAGCGGCAAGTGGGGAGGACATCCACCGGCTTGTCTAGGTACCAAAACATGAACTAATAGCATCTGAAATTCATGTCGTAAACTATGAAATTGAATTATGAATTATATTAGATGCATACTGCAGTTCACCAGTGCAATTTTTTGACATTTTTCTGTGTCCAGATGTGGATGAGTGTGCTCTGGGCTCTGACTGCGACGATCACGCCAGCTGTCAGAACACAGATGGATCTTACACCTGCACCTGCATTCACCCATACTCTGGAGATGGCAAAAACTGCACAGGTAACAAGACCCTGATGCGTTACATAAAGCCATGTTTAATTATCAAGTGAATAGAAATAAAAGTCTTACAGTAACAGTAAGAGGTTTTTTTTTTTTACTGTGATGAATCTGGTGGCTGTTTGTGTGATCAGAGCCTGTTAAGTGCCAGAACCCTGGATCTCCAGAGTTTGGTCACAGAGATGGCAGCAAATTTCTGGTGGGGAGTGAAGTTGTGTTTGGTTGTGACAATGGCTACGAACTTGTTAGCTCATCCCGACTCCGCTGCCTGGACTCAGGACATTGGGACAGTCCTGTTCCATATTGCAGAGGTGAGTTTTAAGCATTGAAGCACTGAGCTGCATGAGCGTGTGTGTATCAAATAACAAAACTACTGTTTTAGGTTTGGTTGGTGGTTATTCCCTTATTTCTTTGTATCCAACCAATAATCTGTTTTATATTTAAATTCAAACCACTTTTTAAAACGTATGTTAGGTAATGTCTTTGCATTTTCTTATACAGTATTTTCTTTTTACGAGGTTTTACCAAAAGAGGAGGGATGCTCCTCTAGAACAAAGTAATTCTG